TTGAAGTAACTTTGCCGACAAAGCCCTGGCAGCGTGCGGGAGAGGCGGCCGGCCGCTGCCGCGGCGGCGGTGCGGGGGAGGTCTCCGGTACCTCAGCGCTCCATCTACCGGTGCGTGGGGGAAGTCTCCGGTGCACCGCCGCCTCCCTCTGCAGCCTTGGAAGCCGGCTCTGAACGATTTTTTGGTGGCTTAGATCAACCTGTGAGCCTGCTTTCATGCTGGGGAGAGTTGCGATATTTAGCCCGTGATATCACCTTACTTCCTTCCTCTCCTACGTGGCTGTCAAGGCGTCTTCATCCATCACGCAGGCGAGGGGCTCAGATCGCGTTTCAGCCTTTTAGGAGCTGAGATTACGAGGCCAAGGATCTCCAGTGACCCAGTTCTCAAACCACAACTAGCTGTGGCTGCCAATTCTTCTGATTGAGTAGTAACTGCTGTGCATAAAATGGTGGTCTAGAAGGGGGGGAAGTACGCAGAAAGCTATTGCTAACGTCTGAGGTATTCGTTTACTATCTGCACTTGGTCATGTCTTGTCAGCTTCTTGAATCACAGGCTAAAAAAAAACCTTTGAAGTGGGGGAAAAAAATGTCTGGATATCTGAACAGTGCTGGGGTTGTCCATTCAGCAGAACCAGATCTTAAACAGATCTTTAACTGCCGGACCAGTCGATCTGCATGGCTAGTGCTGGTTAGAAAAACTCGAGTAGAAATTTTTTTTCTCCAAGGGGACCAAAAATGTGGTGTTTGGATTTTGACTTTTTACTATGACAAAAAGCTGATTTCATGATGCAAAAATTAAACATTTGTTTCAAAATGTGACAATTCAGGATGCTCAGTGTTGTTCCCTTTCCCTAAAAAGACGTGACTTAAGAAACCGGTTCGTTTTGAACAGCATTACCTTTCCAAGGGAAAATGATTCATTTAGCTACAGGGTCTTCAAGGGCTCTCCAAATTTATCATTATTTCTTCAGCTTCAGAAAGCAATACCAGAAGTTAATAACAACTCATGTAGACATATTCTAATCCTCCGCGGGGCGGAGAAACTAAGCTGACCCTACTTTTCCACCTGTAAAACTAATTTCCTTCGACCGAAGTCGGGGTGTCCAGCCCGCTCCTTGCACCGCTTCGCGTTCCTGCGGCTCGGGGCAGGTTCCACATCCCCCAGCTACCGCCGGGGAACGGGGGAGCGGGAGTTAGGCGGGAAGGGAAGCGAGACGAGTGGTCCGTGTGTGAGTTTTCAGGCCTTCCTCGCGCAGTTTTTCCTCGGTGAGGGAGCCTCTGAGAGCTCTGACGGTCGCTCGTCGCGCAGGGCCGGCGGTCGGGCCGCCCGCCTTCGCCTCGGCCCTGAGGGGCGGCA